AAATTGAATCTAACTTACGGTCACCCAATAGGACAGAGCAGAACTGCCCCATAGGGTTTCCAAGACTGTAAGTCTTTATGGAAGCAGACTGCCACATCTCTCTCCCACAGAACAGCTCATGGGTTCGAATCACCAATTTTTGGTTAGCAGCTGAGTGCTTCATCACTGTGCCACCAGGGCTCCTTTCTTTTCGACTTTACAGAGACTCATTTTCTCCATATACGGAGTTTCCCTCATGATGCCTAGAAAAATGGTCACTCAGTGAGTTGCATTTTCTTCCCTCACCACACACACCTTTTTTAATCTGGAGCCAAGGACATCCCTCCATCAGAAAGTCCTTGTTCACGTGGTAATCCCCTGACAAAAATGGCAAAATTCCCTGAGGAATTAAATATCCCTTTGGCCCTCCACCCTCCACGCCCTGCAACAGGAAACTCATCCCTCAGAATCATACTATGTATAATCAAAACACAAACATTAAAATGGGGTTTGCACACCACCCCAGACTCTTCCACGTTCCCAGAGCCCCAATGGGACATAGTCTTTCCATGATTTCAAACCCCCTAAAATCAGAAAGGAGTCCCTGGGTGGAGCAGACGGTGAGGCACTCGGCCGCTAATAGAAAGGTTGGAGATTTGAATCCACTGACAGACACTTCAGAAGAAGGGAACGGTGATCTCCATCCAAAAAACTCAGCCATTGGAACCCTAAAGCGCACAGTTCTCTGACACACATGAAATCGCCGTAAGTTACAGCTATAGTGGAGTCCATAAAAGTAACAAGGTTATGCACAAAACTTTGAAGAATTAACTCACACTTCAGGAAGGGATGTCTTAGTTATCACTGGGTCATCACCTCTCACCACACCCCACGCCAGCACACTCACATGCCCATAGCTTCAGTGAAAGCGGTTTAAGAGGCCAGACGGCAAGGGAAAACCTAACGGCGATGAACATCCCTTGTTTTCCCTGACTGGCCTCATTTCTCCTTCTTCTGATAAGAACACCTCATTTGCTTTTAAGCAACCACCCTTTCCCCCATCTTGTGTCCTCAGACCTTACTGCCTGGCTCTTGGAATGAGCACATGACACAGGCCTGGCCAATTAGAGCATTCCATTCCCCAGGAGGTAAGATCAGGCCCTGAGTCAGGCCAAGAACACTCAAACTTAAGTCCTTGCTTGGAATTATGGGAAAAGAAAATCTCTCCCATTGGGTGACTAGGCTAATAGGTTAGAAGCCTGAAGCTACTGGTGGCTTTATTTTACCGTAAAGAAAGAGCCTTCCTGAAAAAGAAACCAACACAGAAACTGAGTTCTGATGGCATCCTTTGTACCTTTACATCCAGCTGGGCCTAAAAATATACTTCCAGACTTTTTCATTACATGATCCATAAAATCCTTTTCCTTTATTAACTTTTTTGTTGTGATTTGGGTGAAAGTTTACAGAGTAAATAGGTTTCCCGTTCAGAAGTTCATGCACATTTTGTTTCATGTCATTGATTGCAATCCCCACAACGTAACAGCACTTTCCCCACTTTCTCCCAGTGATAAGCCTTTCCCTCTGCCCTTCTTTCCTATCTCTTCCTGTGTTGTCCCTGGTCAATACTAACCTTCTGATCTCTTATGCTGGATTGTTCTAAGGAGCAGGCACCTCCCTGGTGTTACTGGTAACCTCATAGGCCTGTCTATTGTGTGGCTGAAAACTGAGCCACAGAAGTGAGTTCGGTTCCAGGCCTGAAAGGTGACGAAGGGCCATAGTCTTGGGCATTCTACCAGTTCTATTAGACCAGTAAGCCTGGTCTTTTATTATTATTATTATGTGATAAATCCTTTTTTCATTTATGTCACTTTGAGTTGGGTTTTCAGTCACTTGCAACCAAAGATTGCTGGCTGCTTACAGACCTGAGATCAAATGGGCTAGACCTGAGTACACATCTTTCCCGCTTTCTCTCCTTGGCCCTAAATGAAGGTCAGTCTAGAAGTAAGAATACAGTTATTGGGGTCCTGCCTCTTGGGGGCTGAGGATGAATCCCAAACAGATGCTTGTCTGCATGAGGTCGTCAAAGGCACAAAGGGGTCACTTCAGGATTCGGATGCTCATCTTTTGCTCAATGTCCATCTTCTCTAAGGACTGGGAAGAGAGGGGTAGTAGTCAAGACGTTTGAATTCCAATCTCCTTCCCTGGGATTCTACCCATCCTCAAGACTCCACCATTCCCTGAGAACTCCATCTTTCTATCTTCCTCCTTTGAACTTCATATCCCACATCTATCTGTCTTAGGAGCTCCTGATTTCAGCTGCCCAGGCCCTACAGGTGTTCTGACCTTGACAAACTCCAGGAAGGACACCGCGCCATCCCCATCTTCATCGGCCTCCTGCACGGTGCGGTCAGTGATGCTCTCCAGCTGCTCTTCTGTCACCTGTACCCCGACCATCAGTCGGAGAACCTGGGAGGTAAGGGGAGGAGCAGATATAAGGAGGCACAAAGCGTATTCCTACTAACCCCAAAACCTTGCCCACCTCACTCTAAAAGTTATTACCAATAGCAGAATCCATCTCTCACCCATTTTTCACCTCATCCCAATCATTTCTCACCATGTCCCCAATAATTTTCCCCACTGATTCTCCATCCAGTACCCCACCCATTGCTCACTGTCCCACACTCAACAATATGTCCAAACTCATTTACGCAATCCCGACCTTACACCTTCACCTCCATCTGTTCTCGACCCCATCAGGCACCTCATCCTCCAACTAGTCCCGATCCCATCCCCCACCTCATCTCAACTTCTGTTTCAGAGTTTCTCAAGCTCAGCATTATTGATATTTGCAGTCAGATAGAAGGCACTTGACTGCCAACCAGAAGGCTGGCAGTTCAAACCCAACAGCCACTCCTCAGAAGGAAGTTGGGGCAATCTACTTCCGTAGTGATACTGCCTCAGAAAGCCAAGGAGGGATCACTATGAGTCGGCTCTGACTTCATGGCACATAACAACAACAACAACAAATCCTGTGTGATGTAGGATGTTTAACAGCATTCCTGACCTCTACCCCACTAAACGCCAAGAGTATACCCCCCTCAAGTTGTGACAACCAAAAGTGTCTCTGTCGAGTTGATCCCGACTCACAGGGACCCCCCCTGGGTTTCCTAGATCAGTATGGAAATAGATTGCCCAGTCTTCCTTCCAAGGAGTGGCTGGGGGGTTTGAACCACCAGCCTTCTGGTTAGCAGTCAAATGCATTAGGCACCATGCCACCAGAGCTCCCAAAATGTCTCCAGAAATTGCCAAATATCACTCAGGAAATATTACATTAGTTGAGAATCACTAATCTATTCCCAACTTTATATCCAACTGTCCTCAGCATCCCTAACTAGCCCATACATCAGCGCACTCATCCCCATTACCCACTCAATCCACCAATTCTCTGCAGCCTCTATCCACCAATCAGCGCACCTCATCCGCCACAACCGTTGCAGTAAACCATCCAACATCCAACATCCGCCACCCGCCACCCACACATCCCATCTCTTGCCCTTGCATTCCTCCCACCTGTAGCATCTCATGCCTGGAGATCTTTCCATCTCGATCCAGATCATAGAGCTGAAAAGCAACTGGGGAGAGAATGGAAGAAGGAAGGAAGGTGAGTCTTCTCTTTTTCTCTCCAGCAGAAGGTCCCCCTGCAGGAGTTGGGAGGTCATCAACAGACTCACAAAGGCTGTGGGAGGTTCCTGGGCCTCTCACTCACAGCTGGATAAATCTGGCCTCTCTGCTAGCTGCTACGTTTAAATGAGGCATGATGCTCAGTCTCCACCCAGCTGAATTCATTCCCTTATAGGGCCCATGGAAGCCCTGGCCGCCCAGTGGTTAAGCCCTTGCCTGCTAATGGAAAGGTCGGTGGTTCGAACCCACCAGCTGCTCCACAAGAGAAAGATGTGGCAGCCTGCTTCCCTAAAGATCACAGCCTTGGAAACCCTATGGGGCAGTTCTACTCTGTCCTGTAGGGTCACTCTGGGTTCACAACCTATTTGTACCACACGAATCTGTAGTGGAAGCTCCAGTCTGGGAATGACTTAGACCTCTGACTAGCCCTTGGGTGGAAACACACAAACTCACAGCGAAGCTTGTTCATTCTGCTATTGAGGGGTTCTGGTGCCTTGGGGTCCTGTAGTTCTTCATCGTCTACAGGGCGGAAGTGAGCCAGGACTCTGACAAAGCCTGAGAAATCCACACTGTAACTCCTGGTGGGTAGGATGGACCAGAGGCAGTGGTCACCTTGGCCCTTTTTCTGCCCGTATCCCTAACCCCACCACCACCACCACCCCGCACCCACCCACGCGAGGCCTCACCCATCAGTGAAGAAGCTTTCTATAATGCGGTCCCCCAGAGGGTTCACTGCCAGAGCCCCAATCTGCCGGAGATCCGTGCGGCTGTTAAGTCAAAGGGCAAAGAGGGTAGGGCAAAGACGGGAGACGGAGGTCCCGGAGGGGCACGGGGTCAGGGAGACAGGTGGAAAGTGATCATGTCAGCTCCCCTCACCACAGGTAGCCCTTCTTGTTCCTGTCCAGGTCCCGGAACCGGCGGTAGAGGCGGACCAGGCTGGCTTCAGAGACTACGGGAGATAATGCGAGAGGGTCAGCCGGAGGAGCTTGGGGATGTGGCTGGAGCCGCGCGCCGTGGGGAGCGCTCCAGAAGCCCGCTTTGGGGGGCCCTGGGAGGTGGGCTGGGAGTAGAAAGGGCTTGCTGGAGGGTACATTCAGCCGAGAAGCCGGGGACTGGGGCGGCAAGGGCTAGAGGGCGTGAGAAGACTCAGTGAAAGGCCGGGGATCGAGGCCAAAGTCAACCCTCTCCATGCGCCCGTGTGGCTCGAGCCCCAGGACACCCGGGTGCCAGGATCGCTCCGCTTCCCAACCCGGTGAATAGCGGCCCTCCGCGAATGTGGACGCTGGCACATCCAGGGTAACGCGATCCTAGACGCCGGAATCTTGGTCTCCCAGCTCCCGGGG